TCAGCACTTAAAATTGCAATTAACAATTTCATTGGTGCCGGCGGGGATCGAACCCGGGTTGCTCGACTACTGTGTAGCTTAAAGCGAGCGCTAACCATCTGAGCTACCACGACTCGGCTTAAATAGAATAAGGCTGGCAAATAAGCACACAGTCCACCTGATGGTAAGTGAATACTGTGCCCCATAGACATCTACGTTAATCCTCGTTTAAGTATCAATATGCATATACGCTGTCTGAGGACCCCTGAGGACTAAGATAAGAATGCTTTGTATCCAGTAAAAAGGTTCTCCGTATTTCTACATTCACCATACGAAACACAGCAGCATTAAGCTGCTATTTTACGCTGGTATTCTGTAAGAGCGTGGTTCTTCCCTGGTCGAGCCGACGTACAAAAATGTAGTTTTGACGTTCGATTGGTGGCGTAACTGAATCCAAACTCAAACTCAAGCATTTATTGCTACACCATAATGTACACAAGATGTTATAAAATAATGTCAGACCAGTGCTATGGACCCTGTTGGGCACGCAATTAAGCGGCTAGGAGAGAGGAAGCGTGTTTAACTACTTATAACAATGTAATTGTGGTTTATTGAAATAAAATAAAATTCAAATGAGTGATCATTTTGTATATGTATTATTTATAAAGTATTCATTAGTACTATAGCAACATTTATTAGTTAGGAACTGTTTTAATTATTTTTTAATATATTAGGTAGTTTATAATATAATTTTATGGAAAAACGGAATGTACTAGAAATATTTAGTTTTAATCGAGAAGTTGGCAATACTAATTTATTTTTATGTCGTAACGTGTATTTTCATGGTAAATCTTCACTTTTTGTATAAAATAGCTTATTTATCATAGAATGTATGGTAATAATTCTATGTTATTTATATTCGAAAAAATTTACTCATCTCCAATATATCGGTCGGTCTGCAGCTATTAGTCTGATCTATATTTGCTATAATCCAGATTATTTTTTCTTGGAGGGAGAATAGAGGCTGCATCCGCGCTGTTGACCCACAGAATGATGTCGTAACTCAGCCAAGCCACATGAGTAAAGAGTACTTACTTACTCTTTACTCTGTGGCCAAGCGTGCGCATACGCATAGCAGGTTGTTTTTGCCGTTTCTATATTGGTAGTTTTTTTTTAATTTCGCGTAATGCATATGAGAAGCTCGAATGTTTAGACTTCACTCTATGGACGTGCGCTTTCCAATTCAAGTGTCGGTCTATATCTAAACCGAGTAATTTAAATTCTTTCACAGATTCTAAAATTGTGCCATTGTTTTTTTTATTTTTGTTTAAATTTAATGCAATTTTTTGATGGGGATCAAAAGTTACTATTTTAACTTTCGAAAATTTTATTTATATTTTTCTTTATTTACGTACAGTGGAAAATAAAGGGTTGAAAAAGGTTTAATAATTAGCGGTTGTGTATGGATTCCAAAGATAAGTAAAAACTATAATAAGAAAAAAAACTAAAACTACAAACTTAATTATCATATAGTCCTACTCCTCGCGGTATCGTACCAAGAACGCTGGCTGCATTTCCCCGCTGAATGGCTATACTTAGCCTTTGAGCGAGAGAAGAACCATAGATAGTTTACTTAATATTGGTAGATATCATGTATATCGGGCATATCCTGTCTAGGAGGGGTCTGTGCTCTACTCGGTATTGACTCATACGTAATATATAGGTTGGGTATAGCCTTTAAGTACTCTGTTGGTTTTATTAAATTTACTTGCAACATTTTGTCGACATCTCTTCTTCACGTGTGGCTTTATCAAAAAAAGTATCACATAGCACAACTAAATGGATGAAGTCCGACCAATGCTAATAAAAAAGAAACTATCACTTAGAAATTTAACACCGCGTTCACTATGGAGATATGTGCGTATTAGTGGAGAAATAATTATGCCTTAGCATCAAACTTCATTCTTTGCGTAGAGACTAGATAGATACTTTCATCGATAGTAGAGACTTCAACTGCCAAGATCAATTGATATAGAAAATACGAGTAGCTACCACTGTGAATAATGTAATTTTATACTCTTGTGCACGAAAATCGCGAAATAATTACGTCGTTAATGGTTGTAGCACGAATGGGTCGGCTCGACCGGGGAAGGACCACGCAATCACGGAATACCTACGTAAAATAGCAACTTAACACTGCTGTGTTTCGTATGGTGAGTGTAGAGAACTGGAGACCCTTTTTTACTGGAAACGAGGCATTCCATCTTAGTCCTCACGGGTGACAACGCATCTGCATTTTGATTCGTAATCGAAGATGGATGTAGATGTCTATGGTCCACAGCAACCACTTACCATCAGGTGGACTGTGCGCTCGTTTGTCACCCCTTTCCTATAAAAAAAAATTGTTAAAATTAGTAAGGCAGCGAATAATAAGTTTTACTTCATACATAGATTTGAACCCATTTAAGTAATATGTACTTTAAACTAAGTTTTAATTTAAACAGTGCGCATAAGGCTCCATATTAAAGTGATATATTTATAAGTATTCCATGTTGATCCATGTCATCATTGAATTGTTCATTGTGTACAATTATATTTTCTTTTTTCTCTTCATAAACCCCTAAATGTTGGACATGGGTCTTTAACAATATCTTTCAAAGCATATCTTATAGGGCACACATAGCAATACTAGTTTAATAAAAAAAAACATAAGCGTTCAGATAACTAATTATAATCGCCTTACTTGCTCGGCGAATTGGAAATCACAGTATTAAATGTCATGCACTATTGAAGCCACTTCACGTCACCGATCTGAGTATTTACTACTTATATCTGTCATATACGAGACGGTATACTGCACTGACCTCTATATTATAATTACAATATAAAATTGTAATTACAATATAAAATTGTAATTATAATATAAGTGTGTAATTAAAGTATATTTGATCCAAATCATAATTAATTCTTTTATTTCGAAGTGATTCAGCTAATACTTAGAACCCCACGACCCTCAGCTCCGATACCCACCACACGAGTATTTCATTGGTCTCTATTTTTAGTAATGTATCTTTCATCTTTCTATCTCCTAAACGGCCTATTCAAGACGAAAAAAGTTAAAGAAAATCCCATGTGTGGTTTTCACTCTGAGAATAATTATTTTATGTTTAATAATTTTCAAAAAGAATTTGCAATCATAATTAGTTATTTGTACACTTATAAAATAACTTTTTATTAAATAAATTCAGTTAAGTATATCTCATAAGATACGTCTGAGTACATAATATAATGAAAACAGAAGATCAACTAAAAATAGGTACCTAGCTATTATTTTCCGACAGCAGTTGGTCCTATTAGTGTACAGTATGATTTGTTTTCTTTTTTTAAACGGTACTATCCATATAAAGTTTTTTGACTTTACAAGAGACTTATGCTGCAAGAATGAGCACACGTCGCCGCGCCGTGCTGCCGGATAGGGACGGCGCGGCAGCGTAGCTAGAAAGTCGTACAGCGAATAAAGCATAAATTAATGATCAGAGCGCGCGTTCACTTACCATTAATCTAAGGAATAAAGATTAGAGAATTTTCGATGTAATACCTAAAATATACCAATACCGCCTACATATTCACATAGTAAACACGTTTCCATCTTAAAAGGTTATGGGAAGAAACATCATCACATGAATCGTGCGCTTTTTCGTCACCTTTGTTCTATAAAAAGAAAAAGTAAACTGGAGCCTGACAATGCGAAAGTAATGCACGAGGGCACTACTACATAATATTAAAAATTGAATTAAACGTTAATTTTACGAAATTTATCGCGTCTAATTTAACTTTCACTTTTCCATAATTTTTTATTTATTAATTAAACGCGATAAAAATTTGTTTTACTCTCATTATTTTCTAATTTCTTGCCTGTAATTCAGAAATCCATATTTTTATTATGATTATTATTATTATTTAAATAAAACCAATCCCTTGTGAAACACTTTTATTAATATTACAATAACTTTTTCTCGATCTCATAAAATAAGGTAATACTTATTATGTAATATATAACTAATTATGACTTTAGCCGTAAATGGCACTCAACAACTCCATGAATAAATGCAATGTACGTTAGTGCTTTGACATTTGATACATTGAAGGAATTTATGCGGTTAGGTCAGTGTTAGAAAACTGGCGGTTCTGTTCGAACCTTAGAGTATACACTATACATAAGTAATTAATAATTATACCTCTAAGTTACTCAACGTTAGAGGTGTATTCAGCGTGCAAGGCACTGAGTAGCGGCTGCTAGATTTATTTATTAATATTTAATACACTGCTAATTAAAACGCAAAAATATTAATAAGACAATTATATTTCTAATTAAGTCCATTAGGTTTCTAATAAACATTTATAAATAAAAACAGTAAACTTATTATATTTATATTTTAAATATAACTAATATTTGTTTAGTAATTTATACCACATAAATTGCAATCAATGTAAAATTGCATTTAATCACGAAAGAATAATAGACAAAAACAATTATGAGTCAAAATTACATTAATGTAGACGTCTTAAATTCGATCAGAACAGGCACTTTAATTATCTTCACTAATATTATCATTTCATACCGATAAATCAAACCAAAAACTACCCATTAATTTTAAAGGCTTACATTTTACAAGGAACAATTTTCAAAAAGATTTATACTTATTTGTTTAGATGGAATGGATTGCATTTCTTTATGCGTAATTATACGTACATAAATTCGTAAAATACATTACCGTAAAATTTAAAACGAAATATACGAACTGCGTTGAATGCATAACTCATACGTTCTGAGTTTTACACAATGTAGATAATTATTGATTGTCGGATTTCTCTTCAAATGTGGTGCCAATAATTGTTCCTAAAATATATATTAATAAAGCTGACTGGTTAAATAACAGTCACTTTGTTCAACGAAATGTACTTGGTATGTCGATTGATCAGTTTGTTACGGCCAATAAAAATGGCGCTACGCGATTGGGTCAGCAAGCGCAGGATTTACCGCTTCCGCCGCCATTTCTGCTGTTCTCGCCGTTCGCGATCTTGTGGTCGAGAGCAAACTTTTCGCCGTCCTTGTCGTTATTGTGTAGCAGCTTGTCGTTGAGGAGGATCTAGATAAAAAATAAACATGCTATTACAAAAGTTTTATAATTAATACATTTTAATAGACCGTGGGAGGAATTTGCTAACACCAAACCTCGTCGTCATACGTAGTTGTAAGGTCCAGGGAAGGACAAAGAGATCTCATTGCTTCCGAAAGATGGAATGTACATATCTCGTTTACGCCAGACGTAAAATGCCCATACTGACGAAGTGGATAGCACCAAAGGTGAGTCTGGTACTTTGAATAGAATAGATTTTTTTTTATAGAATAGGGTGATAAACGAGCACACAGTCCACCTGATGGTAAGTGGTTGCTGTGGCCCATAGACATCTACATTTTTATTCTCGTTTGCGAATCAAGATGCAGATGCGTTATCACCCGTGAGGACTAATATGAAATGCCTCTTTTCCAGTAAAAAGGGTCTCCGGTTCTCTACACTCACCATACGAAACACAGCAGTGTTAAGCTGCTATTCTACGCTAGAATAGAATAATTTTTAATCAATTTAGATTATTACATAATACTTATTGAAATTAATTTTTTATTTACCACCATTTGATCGCCAATTCCCCTGCTAAGCGTGGCGAATAGGGCAAAACCTCTCTACTCGAAAAAGATATTCTACATTAACATTTAAAAATAATTATACTATTCAATGATAACAAAATCGATAACAAAAAATAATAAATGATGCTCAATATATCTGACTTTATTGAGTTAAGTGTAAAGAGAACAAAAAATGTAAAGCACAAAAAGTTTTATTGTTCGTACGAAATTTAAGATTATGACGTGAATAGTTGTCAGCGTAAGATAATCCACTACCCTCTGAGTCGTTAGAAGTCATAAGTGTCGTAAGTGACGACAGAGGGAAATGAAATAGAAGATGGATAGCAGCGTCTTTCTAAAAATAATTCGAAATAATAAAATGTAGCAGTTGCCAGCCTTCTCAGTTGGGCAATTAACCCCAATTGAGGCATCAATAGGTAGAGGCCAATGTTCAGTAGTGAACCTTTGGCAGGCCATAATAAGTGAATTAATTCAATAATTTTAGTAAAATGTATCAAAACGCTTCATAATTAAAATTTAACAAAGAATGGACCATAACAGTAACTACACCGATACTACCGTAGACGGCGCATATTTAATATGTATTCATCATCTTCATCATCATAATTATCATTACAGCCCTTCACAGGTCCACTGCTGAACATAGGCCTCCCCCAAAGAATGCCACAAGCCACGGTCCCGAACCACCTGCATCCATCGACTTCCTGCATGTCTTACCAGGTCGTCACTCCATCTAGTGGGGGGTTGCTATACGCTTCGCCTACCGGTACGAGGCTGCCACTCGAGAAACTTTTTTCGCCATCGGTTTTCGGTTCTTCGAGCTACATGGCCGGCCCATTGCCACTTCAGCTTACTAATTCGTTGGGCTATGTTGGTTACTCTGGTTCTACTGCGGATATCCTCATTTCTAAGTTTCTCACGCAGAGAAACCCCGAGCATAGCCCTCTCCATAGCTCGCTGAACGACCTTGAGCTTCTTCATACGGCCAGAAGTGAAGAATCACGTTTCAGATCCATAAGTCATCATTGGCAACACGCACTGATTGTAAAAACTCGTTTTCAGGTTTTGAGGTATACCTGACGAGAAGATGTGTTATAATTTTTCGAACGCTGCCCAGCCGAGTTGAATCCGTCGATTGACCTCTCGGTCGAAGTTGGACTTACCTAGTCGGAATATTTGTCCCAGGTAAACATACTCGTCAACAACTTCTTAGCTTAGTGCTCCCAACAACTACCGGCATAGGTGTGACATTGACGTTACACATGACTTTTGTTTTTCCATGTTCATATTAAGACCTATCCGTTGGGAGACACTATTAAGATCACTGAGCATAGTGCTTAAGTCCTCCGGCAATTCTGCCATAAGGACTATATCGTCGGTAAATCGAAAGTGAGTGATGTACACGCCATTCATGTTAATACCTTTCCCGTCTAGTAGCTTGAAAACGTTTTCCAATTCAGTGGTGAAGAGTTTTGGGGATATAACGTCACCCTGTCTTACATCTCTCTGCAATTAGATAGGTTTCGTACTCTGATTCTGTACTCGGATTGCCATCGTAACCCTACTGTACAAACACTTCAGCACTTCGATTAACTTGGCACCGCTGAAGGGACTGTAGCACCGCCCAAATTTCGATGGAATCAAAGGCTTTCTCATAGTCCACATACGCAAGGCAAAGTGGCAGATTGTACTCTTCTGTCTGCTGTACAATTTGCCGAAGGGTGTGTATGTGGTCTATGGTACTAAAGCCTCTTCGGTAACCGGCTTGTTCGGGAGGCTGGAAGTCGTCGAGTCTGCGTAATAGGTATTAAAAGCTGTTTATTGTGAAATAGACTCGCCGTGTAAGAGGTCCCCAACAATGTATACATCATACATTTCCAGACTGTTCAAGTCCACTGCTAGACATTAGTCATTCCTAGAATGCTTGGCGAATTTATTAAAAGATTTACTCATACTCACAACGCTAGGCAGAATTAGTAAAAGTGATATTAGACAACACATTTCAGTGAATTGACGAATTTCTAGTGAACGTACATTTCATTCATTGCTACCATAGTCCACTGCAGAATGATTTCTTATATTTACGCGAACACTACACATTTAAATAAAACTAATTTTACGGATTTTATCGCGTATATTAACTTATTTTATATTCCCGACGTTTCGGGCAATTTTCAGCACCCATGGTCACGGGGGGGACTGAGGTGTATGACGTCCCAATGTCATAGTTAACCACAGCTACTTTCACATTAAAAATTATTAATTTTTGTTCCGATCTACGCAGTATGAACTTACAGTATCATGAAGTCTTGCAGTTGTATGCTTGGGTTGGAATTTAATTTTATTAATTATGGGATCCCAAGCAGATGGTAGCATCCAGCCATCTTCTCTATTGAAATTAGGATGTTTTTTAATTTCAATAGCCTCGCGAATCATCCTGGGGAGGAATCGGTGTTCTTTAGCGAGGATTTGTAGTCTATCAAATCTAATGTAGTGACGGGGGCGATCCTCTACGTGTTCACAGACTGCAGACTTACCGGAACGTCGATTCTTCACATCAGCTATGTGTTCTTTAACGCGGGTTTTTATGGATCTTTTAGTTTGTCCTATATAAGAGAGACCACATTCACAATCAAGCTTGTACACTCCTGCATCTTGCAGAGGAATATTACACTTGACTGATGGTAAAAACTGACTAGTCTTCTTCGGCGGCTTGAAGTATGTTTTAATGGAAGCATGCTTCAAGATGTAGCCAATCTTGTCAATGACACCTCTGACATATGGCAGTACAGCAGGTACTCGCTCGACTGTGGCCGGTTTCACTTGTTCACTGTGACGTAGGCGCGGGACCCGAAACTTATTGCCGTGCAAAACTTGCTTGACGTGTTGGAACTCGGCGGCCAGGTGTTTACTGTCACAGATCCCTCGTGCTCTCTGAAACATCTGTACTGCCATATGTCAGAGGTGTCACTGATAAGATTGGCTACATCTTGAAGCGTGCTTCCATTAAAACATACTTCAAGCCGCCGAAAAAGATTAGTCAGTTTTTACCATCAGTCAAGTGTAATATTCCTGTGCAAGATGCAGGAGTGTACAAGCTTGATTGTGAATGTGGTCTCTCTTATATAGGACAAACTAAAAGATCCATAAAAACCCGCGTTAAAGAACACATAGCTGATGTGAAGAATCGACGTTCCGGGTAGTCTGCAGTCTGTGAACACGTACAGGATCGCCCCGTCACTACATTAGATTTGATAGACTACAAATCCTCGCTAAAGAACACCGATTCCTCCCCAGGATGATTCGCGAGGCTATTGAAATTAAAAAACATCCTAATTTCAATATAGAAGATGGCTGGATACTACCATCTGCTTGGCATCCCATAATTAATAAAATTAAATTCCAACCCAAGCATACAACTGCAAGACTTCATGATACTGTAAGTTCATACTGCGTTGATCGGAACAAAAATTAATAATTTTTAATGTGAAGGTAGCTGTGGTTAACTATGACATTGGGACGTCATACACCTCAGTCCCCCCCGTGACCATGGGTGCTGAAAAGTGCCCGAAACGTCGGGAATATAAAATAAGTTAATATACGCGATAAAATCCGTAAAATTAGTTTTATTTAAATCCACTGCAGAACATAGGTCTCTCCATGAAATGCCTCATGAGGGAGATATTTACCATATTTTCCACTTTAACAACTAGGGAAAAAATTTGCGGTTGCCAACCCGCCTGCCAAGTGTGGCAACTATAGAAAAATAGCCTCTACGAGGCAATCTATGGGGGAGGCTTATGTTTAGCAATGCATTTTTATAGGATGTAATGTAATAGTGTCAGTTACGTCTAAACATAGAAAAATGTCATGTCAAATTGTCGATTAGGAATGTCTGACAGTCTTATAAACTTTAGTCTTGCCATAATGGTAAATAGAAAAATGACTTTCAATAAGTAATATGTAATAATGTACATAGAATAAAAATCATTCTGTTCAATTCTATTCCATATAATAATTATACTTAATCATTAATATTAATTAGTACCTGCCTATTGTGCAAGTTAATCATAAATTAGATTTTCTATTTAAGCTATTAAGGTACTTCAATAGCACCAAAGCAATTTACATGTATACTTCGAGGCCATACATCCTTTAAACGTCACTTAGTTTCAATTAATTGAGTATATAATAGATCTGAACAGTGAACACGGCACTTCGTAAATCGTTGACTTGAAAATACTGACAGCCATATTTCACTTTATCTTGTTTTGAACTGAATTAGTCTAAATAATACAACAAAACTAATTCTGCCCTCTCACCCCTCCCACCATCGGACAGTCAGACACTCTACCAATCTCCATTCCTTTGTTGCCGTTCGATATGCGTGCAACAATAGGGCGAAATATTTACAACTGTTTTTCTCTTTCCATCAGCTTACAAAATGGGTGTCTTCAAGGCAATAATGAGTAAGGCTATCGTTAAATTACCTCAGTGAGTGCAGTTTAATGTTTTCGCCTACAAAATCATTTACCATCAGATGGGATAGTAGTCAATTATTGGCTTTTAATAGTTAACAAAAGTTAGTAGTTGTAAAATTTCAGAATTAATTATTTCCTTAGCAATTTTGGCTAAAGTTATATTATGAGCTTTAACCTTTAAACTTTTTCGCAGTGGAGCAAAATTGCAGAGCAGTTTGACTTCAGCATAATTGGTTCAACTGGGGAAAGAAAATTACTAGTCTCTTGCTAATTTACTTTAAAATATGTCCGATTTTCTGGAATAGATAATATAAAGATTATTTTAACTTTATTTGTTACTTTATTACTCTGCCGTCATGCACATACTCAAACGTCAAAAAATTGTATACATTGAGTTATATGTACTACGTACTAGAGAAGCCATTTCAAACAATAACTGTGTTCTACTCTATGTCTGCGACTACTACTCCCGCGCATGCGCGAAGACTTTGATATAAAATAAGATATTAATATAAAATAAATATAAGAATTTAATATAAAATATCTTAATTTCATCTAAACAAACAGGTTATAGTTCTAAATAAAATGTAATAATAATTATTTTATGAAATTCACAAATCTTCAATTCACGCAATATTTAGTTTGTAGGAATTGCACTACAGTTCAGTTGCACATAGTCAATGTTCGGAATGGCTTCTCTAGTACGTAGTACATATAACTCAATGATTGTATACAAATTAAAAAGACGTGTTTTTCATTAACACTTTTTATATTAACTTGACAGAACATCTTAAATAAACAAAAATTGTTTAAAATTTGCGGCCTCATTCATAAAAATCGACGCCATTTCTAGAAATGCTTCAAGTTGTTCCTCCTTTACTCTAATTGAACTCAAGTAGCGATAATAAACTATTATACGTAAGGCCGCCGTATTACCAACAATTATAATAATATGTTCAAAATTATCATCTTGTAATTTGGAATTGATTCAAATTATTTGACCCTTTTTATAAGCCTAACTTGATATTAGAAATTAATAAAATCAATTGTGATACGATAATTTTCTTATTTTCAACGTAATCCAAGTTAGTAAAAAAAAGTGTGTTATACAACGAATGTGCGTTTTAAAATAAAAATGGCGTCAACATAACCTATTGATAATGTAAATGATAAACTTATCGTAGGAAAATCTCTAAATTACCTTGTTAAATGTTATTTAGCATTTCGAAACTGGCCACAAATTATCTAGTAATGGGTAACCGAAACATAATTTTATGCAGAGCATTAGTAGAATTGATATGCTACTAATGCTCTGCATAAAATTATGTGATCCCAAGTACATAAATAACAAGATTAATTGCCTCATTACTATGGATAATACGGTGCAACAGGTTTTAGTTTCGAGAATTGGCCACTGATGGTAATTATTTACTGCAGTTTATGAACACTTTTAGCCAACTTCCAACAAAGGAGGTCAAAAAGCTATATGCGTTGTCACCCCTCTTCCTTACACAGATCAGAGCACAGCAGTGGGTTGCATCGCTGCTATTTAAAGGAGTCGTGTCAAGCCAACTTCTAACTATAAAAGAGCCCTATCACCTAATACATGCCACCATGTGAAAATCATGAAAATATTTTTTTTTTGTGTTCTCGTGCCATTTGATAGCGGTTTTAGAGAATTTGTCATTTAATGTCATTTGTCAACACATGGATATCGCAAAAGTCAAGAGAAAGCACCACCAGAAAAATCTCGTGTCAACCGATTGACGACGGGAAAAAACAGATAAAAACCATACCAATAGATTTTATCTATAAATAAAAAAATTGAGATATTCTTAAGATATGTTACTAAAGAAAGTACGAAAAACAAAAATTGCATATAACCCGAATAAAATAATTTAAATAGCACTTAAGATGCTATATTAATATAGAATGGAATTATAAAAGTTTAAGAACAAAATAAAGGTTTTTTATCGAGTCTTGTTTTTTAAAACATCATTTAATTCAAGATATTAATTTAATAAAATAAAATACTCGTATTTAAGTTTCATAACTACTTACAGGAAAACAGCTTGTACTTGAACATAAAAATATTAAGTGTATTTATTTTTAGATTCCGCAATTACAATTACAAATCATCCAAACTATTATTATTTCCCCATTTCGTATGTTATTTCGATTAAAAGTTATTTCGATGAAAAACTGATTAATCCACAAAGCAAAAGCGGTTATAGAAATAATCTGGTTTGTTCAAAACGATAGGTGGTTGCTTTTACTCATATACAAACTGATTTGAATTAATTTTAAGCGCCGATTTATCGTGCGTTAAAAATGAAGGAAAACTCTTTGAGAAAATTTGAAACTTTTAAATTTATTATACATCGTAGTCGTCTTCGCTGAAATGAAAACCTGCGCTTTTTACTCACTTAAAATAACAAAGATTGTCTGTAATCTGAAAATGCTTATGAAAAGTGAAGTCGAATACATACATCCCACAGTTTATAACAGTTTGACCACAACAATATCTTTCTTATCTTAAAATCTTCTCACCTTATTTACTAAGGAGCGCGCTGCCTCTTCGATATTAATGTTTTCTTTAGCCGATGTTTCGAACCAGCCCGCAAATCCTTTTTCGCGACAATATTCGTCCATCTTCGCTGGTGAGTTCACTATGCCCTCCTTTTGCTGGTCACACTGCAAGCAATATAATTCTATGTAATCTAAATAATTACAACATATTGACTTGCATCTTATGGAAAATATCGCTTATATTCTATAAACATTGATTTTTATTTTTTGGTGAGGGCGAAGCAGATATTTTATGTACGTATATTACAGTGTGTTACTGCGCCAGTTGCAATATGTAATATTCGTTTCCGATACTCTGATGTGATCCTTTAGCTTTTATTAGTAGATGAATTTCCTTCGCTATTTGTTAGTAGGGAGATCGTAATTTTGAAACGGTAATAGAATTAAAAAAGTGGGTTTAGATCAGATTAAGTATGTCTACTCTATTTAGTTACGATTTGGTAATTATTTACAAATACACATATTTTGATATAAAAATCTTTTTAGAAGTTTTGCTATGCAAATACGCAAGGAATAAAGTTGACTCGAAGTCGATATCGTGATTTGATTTCGTGATATGCATGACATAAAAGGGCACTAGCGTAGGCACGGTACCTACAACCTTTGCACGTGAAGATACATAAGTATATCAATACTTGAACATCGTAAATTGTAGGACGTTTTTTAGTATTTATTATGAAAGGAGAATATTATATAATTTAAAAGCTACTGTACCATAGATATCCTCAAAAATGTTTGTATTACATTTACTTTTTTTTATAGGAGAGGGGGCAAACGAGCATGCGGCTCACCTGATGGTAAGTGACTACCGCCGCCAATGAACAACTGCAACACCAGGGAGGGAATTGCAGATGCGTTGCCGGCCTTTTAAAAAGGAGTACGCTCTTTTCTTGAAGGTCCCTAAGTATACGACTTACGGTCGTATACTTCGGTCCAGAAAAATCGCTGATGATAATCGATTCCACAAGGAAGTCGTGCGAGGAAGAAAACATCTTCTAAATCGCACAGTGGTGGACCGCCAATCATCCAGATGGTGTGGATGGTATCGGGAGTTCTGCCGCGATGTGCGTTCGTGAAATTTGGCGGCTGGGATTAATCCGAACAATTCCTCAGAGCACTCCCCATGGTAAGATAAGGGTGACAAACGAGCACACAGTCCACCTGATGGTAAGTGGATGCTGCGGCCCATAGACATCTACATCTATCCTCGATTACGAATCAAAATATAGATGCGTTGTCACCCGTGAGGACTGAGATGGAATGCCTCATTTCCAGTAAAAAGGGTCTCCGGTTCTCTACACTCACCATACGAAACACAGCAGAATTAAGCTGCTATTTTACGCTGGTATTCTGTGAGAGCGTGGTCCTTCCCCGGTCAAGCCGACCCATTCGTGCTACAGCTATACCAGAAATATAGCTGCAGCATGGCTCTACCACATCTACTTATGTGTGTAAGCAATTTAATCACGCTCATGGCTGTGTGCTGTGCCTACGTCATACTAAATAATCATGTTTTTAATCGCAGTCACAAAAACAAAGCCTCTGTGACAAAAGATTACCCAAGTGCATAAACCAAAGTCCATAATTGAGATGGCATTCAGCGCTACAACCGTAACCGTTACCGTTACATCCTAATAAAGTCCATAAACCTTAATATTTGCCATAGTCGCCACCCTAGGCAAGCGGGTTAACAGCCGCAGTTTTTTTTTTTCATTTTAGGCGTTATTAAGAAGACGCTGCCCATCCTCTGATTTGTTTCGATCCGTCACCTCTTACGACACCCACGGGATGATATAGGGTCGTGGATATTCTTACACCGCCATTACACGGTAACAGCTCTACAAACAAATATTTTATTGTTAAGATAATTGATATTTTGCTCTGCTTAGTTGTAATGGCGGTGGCGGTCATTTTTGAATCGTTTTTTATTCTATTTAATTAAAAATTTAATTCAAATTCAAACGTTTTAAGTAGTATGTTTAATTTGTCAGTGTCAGCGCAAGTCAGCGTCGCTGGCACAAGTGTTTGAGCATGCAAGGGAGCATAAAGAACATAGAGCATAGAATAGAGTTTCCCTTATTATCGCCAAAAATGGTCGCCCAATCTTTTTTGTGTCAATAGAAATAACTAGTTATAGCTGACTTACTGTTTGACTGACGTCTGCTACTGACCCAATGTGAAGCGACCTTAGTCATAAAAAAAAACATAGCTAAGTGTATGTTTCCATTGTTGTGTTAAAACAAGTGAAGACAAACCTTATTCGCCAACAATATACAGGGTATAGGTGACCCGTCTGGCAACTGCACCTTCGTATCCAAGTCGTTCTTCCACTTGACCACCGCGTCGAATGTTGCTACCCGGGACACATCGAACACTATGAACGCGCCCACCGCCTCCTTGTAATACACTCGTGTCATGTTGCCAAAACGTTCTTGACCTATAAAAGTATAAAACTATTCTTACACTCGATTATCAGCAAAATTAGTTACTGCAATCGGCAGATTCCAAATTGTACAGTTATCGAAATGATGTTATCAACGCGTTTGACAATAGTTCATTTAAATTTAATCCAAGGTCAAATTAGTTTTTGAATCTGGAGCAATTTCAATATTAATCAAATTTTATTGGCCTAAAGGTCTAGATGCCAGGCCATAAACTCCAAAAAAAAAAATCGAGCTTGAGAGCAATCAATGCAATTATGATATAGCTGCAGCTATGATATAGAAAACCAGCGTAAAATAGCGGTTTAATGCTGTTGTGTTATTCGAGTATCCCTTTAAAAGTTCTTCTTATTACATTGGTTTTTATCTAACTCACATGGGCTTTACGCTGATGAGTATTCACCGGTGTGAAGTTATCATTATGCGAAATGATCACAAAAGATCAGCATTTCTCTTATCCTTACATAAAATAAGCAATGTATTTTAAACGAAACGTTCCAAAAATTGTCTATCTTTTATAGAATTATGGTGACAAATGAGCACACATTCCACGAGATAATAAATGTATGCTGTCGCCAATGGATGCCACACACGATCCAGTTTATCGTCAAGTTTGCAGCGCGCTTGAAGGTAAACCGGTAAACTTCAATCTTATTTATTTTTATAAATGTATAGATTAAATCACTTATGCTAGGTTAACTAATCAGATCTTTTTTAAGGTTTTCGATTAATTCATATTAAAACTGATTAAAGATTAACATAACCTTGATAGGTGTAGTCTTAGCCTTTATTATATTCATCATATTCTTTCTTCTTCACAACTTCTTAAATTTCAGTAGTAGCAAAAATGTATTCAAACTTCAACTTACGTTATTCATAAACTTAATACGGAACCATTATTACCAATGAAAGAAATAACAGGAAATAGATAACGGATAACATAAGAAACATCCATGAAAAATAATAACCATATTCATCCATTTTGTCAAAGTATTTAATTGTCAGAGGTGACACTAGCCGTTATGGAGTTAATTTTAACATACCTTCTTTAATGAAAACTTCTTTTGAATAAAAATAAATATTAAAAATCATTTCAAGCCTCTTTCAGGAAGGTAGGTAATATTTGTTAATTATAAATAAATAATAAATTAAAATAAAACTTGTTTGAGTTTGAGTTTTATTAATTAAAGAATTAAACTGGAGGAGGGATATTACACATTGCAGGCTAAGAAGAAGCCTGATATTTTGAAAGAAAAGCTTAATTGAAAAAGTGATTATTTGACTCATAATTACTATAAAATAAAACGTTAACATCACCCAAGGCATAAAACCACAAAGCACCCCAAGTCTTCCTTTCCCATCCGTTGGAATTTCTTCAAGCTTGACAGACGGCCTATACATATCATGTTTGATGAAAGGGTCATTTTTCAAAAAGTAGCCAAATTTTAAACTTAAGTTCAAATATATAAATAATGACATACCGTTATTGAAGTTTTTGAAAATACGAGTAAATAAGGCTTCTACTTTTATTTGAAATTATACCAAATTTAATGTGATTTATGTGCAACAACTACGCGTATGTGCGCTCCACTGTTGCGATTCAATTCACAGCGTTTTTGCCGACCGATCGACCCTTACGAATGTGTGAGTGCGTAGTAAAATGTAGGCGTCAGATATTTGTGAATAACAATCAGTTAAAATAATTGCATTACCACGCATTTTGAATTAAAAAAACAAAAGAAAAGAACAAGGAAATAAAGGACAGAATGTTTGAGATTATTTAAAATTAATTATTCATCACCATTTGCCTATAATTACTTACTCTGAACTTTCTATGTATCTTATATCAATGTAATGTTAAATTTTTTGAGTTTTACGCGACTATCTACAGCGTGATCACTAGCCACTATAAAAATTATTAAACTACCGCAATAGCTCACGATAGATTTAAATAATCTAGTGTAAAACAAGCCATATGAACTTCAATGTCCTTGTAATAATTCTATTAACTCCACATTTCACACTTTTTAACAGAGGCCATACACTACAGTTTTTTTTTATAAAGTGGACGAAAAACGTTTTTTTATTAATTATTGTATCCAAATATTATATAATACACACTTTCTTTATTCTTTAGTTGTTATTAGAAAGACGCTACTAACCATCTCCTGGTTTGATTCCCTCTGTCGCCTCTTACGACACCCACAGGACGATATAGGTCAGTGGATTCTTACACGTCAAAAAAACTGCGATTGCTAACCTGCTTGCGAAGCGTGGTATACGCAAGGTCTACGTTATGTAAGAGGCGATAGAGGCAAGTGAAACACGAGATGGGCAGTAACATATTCCTAATAACAACTCAAATTTATAAAAAAATGCGGTTGCGAACGCATCTACAAGTCGCGGCACGTAAGTCTATCGCTGAACGAAACGTGGAGGGGTCGCGCACGAACGCGACTGGTGAGCCAATCAGCGCGTGCGAACAATACGCACAAGCCAATCAGCGCGACTTATGCGCAATAACGGTCACCGCTAGACTTTCGTGCCTCTACTTATACCAAGCGTGGCAACTATGAGAATAATACTTTCTATGAGACTATGGGGGCGTCTCATGTTCAGCAGTGGACTTTTGATAGGCTGTTAAAAATGTAAGAAAATACGTATAATGAATGTACTTACCTGCGATGTCCCATAACTGTAAGCGTATTATCGTATTCGAGTCCCAATTAAGAACCTTCAAAGCGAAGTCCACGCCTATAGTAGCGCGGTAGTGTTGACTGAAGAATTGATGCACATATCGCTTGATAATTGACGTCTTCCCGGTACCGAGCTCTCCGATTACCAGGATCTTGTAGAGATGCTCCCGGCGCTCTGCACTTGGTGTCGCGTGTGACTGCAAACAAAAATTAACTTTAGGTTTGTTAAACATCAAGAGGTTAAGAGGTAAATTTGCTTGAAGCGAAGGCGGATGTAGGCAGTTAGCAGTGGTAATTTGGTATTAGGATTTTAATATCTCGAATGCATCAATCGATTATCTGCTTGAAGAATAACACAAACAGGTTACTTGCTTACTTGTATGTTTTTTTAAATATTTAAGTTACTTTCAATATATCTACAGTTTTATTTACGTAATGAAATACATAAATAAATAAATAAGTTATAGTGTTAAGTTATTTTTTATTAAAATTAACTTTTTTCTTTAGTTTATTTGTATTCATATCGAGATGTAATGGTACATCTCGATATGATCGCTAAATTTGATCTTTTTAATAAAATTTATCTGGTTCTATAATTGTTTTTATTAATCGTAGTTTTAGATTACGTTGTCATATTGAAAATAGAAAATCTTCAAATATTTCGATATGTACAAAACAATAAACAAAGAGTCAATTTATCGAAACTTCAAAATCAAAACAATTAGACATAAATTAAGCCTACCTATTGGTTTTTGTTCGTAAATAAATATAGGATATAGGAATCCTGCGTTCTAGAACAAAAGCCGCAACCTAGACGGTCAAAGCACTCAAGTAAGTACATAATCCTTTCACAACTCAACGCTATCGCCGGTGTATTTTAAGCACATATAGACAACAGCAAATATTTTGTGTAATGATGCGTACAATTGCGAACTAGTAGCGATCTAGACTAGGCTATTTTCTAATTAGTGTCAGTTAACAACGTGGAAATGTCGGAGTGCGCGTATTAAGTACTCTTTTGTTGGTTAATCATATTCGACGATGTAACTTGCACTCATCACTAAATAACTGTTTTTGAAATGAAAACTAATTTAGAATCGTTGTAATTTGGAAGTTGGTGAAACGAAAAAGGGACACTTAATAGAGACAAACATGTACATCTTTAGAATTTAGCCTGCGAACGAAAGAAATAGAATACAGTGTTTCCTATTATGTATAGAGATTATGCACGTGATCTATGAGTAGAACAAATTTAAGTACTTACGATGATGAAATTGAAAACTTGGAGTCTTCATAATATGTAATTTAATGATTTAATTTACGTACAATAAAATGTAAAATAATTTTTAAACTTGGTAATAATATTTTTTATAGGATAAAGGTGACAAGCGAGCATACAGTCTACCTGATGGTAAGTGGTTCCTGCGGTCCACAGACATCTACATCTATACCCGTTCGCGAATAAAATGCAAATAATCTAGTGTTGTTGTCAGCGTTTACGGACCCCCACATTTATGTATGATTATTTTGAAAAAATAATGGAGGAAGTTTTGCTTAAACTTAATAAACAGAATAAATCTGGAGTGGAATAAATCGTATGTGGAAACTTCTTCTATCAGTATTAAGTTTAGATCATTGGTCAAATCATACAACCGTGTTAATTTGTTCTTTGAGCCGTCACGTATTGCAGGGCCTAGTGCAACTTGTATAGATTTTACTGATCGCTTTATCTTTTTTTTTTATAGGATAAGGGTGACAAACGAGCACACAGTCCACCTGATGGTAAGTGGTTGCTGTGACCCATAGACATCTGCATCTATCCTCGATTACGAATCAAAATGCAGATGCGTTTTCACCCGTGAGGACTAAGATGGAATGCCTCGTTTCCAGTAAAAAGGGTCTTCGGTTCTCTACACTCACCATACGAAACACAGCAGCATTAGGCTGCTATTTTACGCTGGTATTCGGTGAGAGCGTGGTCCTTCCCCGGTCGAACCGACCCATTCGTGCTACAACTATACCAGAAATATAGCTGCAGGATGGCTCTACCACCTTTAAATCTGATCTGATCGTCTCGCTACCTTACATGCACAAAAAACAGAAAGTTAAGAAAGTTGCGCTTGTTCCAATAAATGAACATCGCTTAAAGAGATTTAGAAGTAATATAGTGAAAAAGCTGCCTTTTCTTCCGTATAAAAACAATACTAACTATTTATATGGATCATTATTCAAAGAAAACAACTAATAAGTTTTGTATTTAATAAAACATTTACTTCTAAAACACTCTCTCCAAACAGTCGCAAATCGTTTAAGAAGTAGGCGACAGTAGCTATCCATAGGAGTAGACAAAAGTTATATGACATTTACAATGAAATATTATATAATCATAGTGTTTCATTTAGATGATGTGTGTTGTGCAGCCAAGTCTCTATATTTAAAGTACAAAATTAAGAATGCCTCTAATAAAATTAAAATGACTTGACTAAACTTAAAATCAATAGTGAAACTGGCAAGATGAAACTACACAACTCAAAGTTTCAATTAAATTTTAACAATAATTTGACAAAATCAGATCAAGACGTTGCAACGGCTTTTGAACAATATTTTACCGATATTCCGATCTTGACTACAAAGTCACTCAATTCCTCCCCTGCTGTCATTACTTAAAGTGTAAATGTCTGTAAAAAAGAATTTGCATTTCATAGAATATTATCAGGTGATATTGTAAAATATTTAAAAACTATTGATATTAAGATAAGAGGGATTTCTTCTAAAGTTATTACGTCTATAATAGATGCGATCGCACCCCAACTTACTATTATTTTCAATGCTAGTATCGAATCTGGTGTGTTTCCTGATTTAATGAAACATAGTAAAGTTATACCTTTATTTAAATCTGGCAGTACATTGGACCCTACTAATTTTAGACCTATTTATGTACTGCCAACGCTCACAAAAATTTTTGAAAAAATTATTCTTGATCAAATGTTAAATTTTTTAATGTAAATAAATTACACCATAAAAATCAGTTTGGATTTACAAGGGGTCGAACGACAACTGATGCCGGTGTTGAGCTAATCAAACATATTTTCTGTACATGGGAAAATTCAGAAGATGCTTTGGGTATATTTTGTGATCTTTCCAAGGCTTTCGACTGTGTTCACCATCAGACATTAATCAGGAAGCTACATCATTATGGTGTAAAAAACATAGTGCTTAAACTTATTATGTCATATCTGAATAATAGAATGCAACACAGTTGTTATTAATGGATGCAGTTCTTCCGGATCGGTAGTATCTATGGGTATTCCTCAGGGTTTAATTCTTGGTCCCTTCCTGTTCTTAGTTTATATTAATGACTTACCTTACTTGGTAGGGAATAACCATGATATAGTATTATTTGCTGATGATACTTCGTTGGTTTTCCGACTAAAAAGGCAATTATTGCATATGACGAAGTGAGCAATGCTATATCAAAAGTAGTACACTGGTTTAACGTCAATAATTTGCTTTACCGTTCAGGTAATAAAACGAAATGTATAAAACTCACTACACCTAATGTTAAAAAGGTGAATACCAGTGTGCTTTTAAATGGGGAGGTGCTGGGCCTTGTTGAATGCATTGTTTTTCTCGGTATTACAGTTGACACGAAACTTCAATCGGGCCCTCATATCTAAACTAGCTAGCAAACTTAGTTCTGCAGGATATGCTGTAAAGAAGATTAGAGGCCTTAAATGTGTTGAAAAAGCTAGATTTTATTTATTTTAGTTATTTTCATGGCATATGGTATCTTGCTATGGGGTAATGTGACTGGCTTTGAAACTATCTTTGTTTTGCAGAAGAGAGCCATAAGAGCATAAGCAATCGTATGTCCGAAGGAATCCTTTAGAGAAAAATTTAAAGAAATAAATATATTAACATTGACCTCTCAATATTTTTGTTTAAATTTAATGTATGTACAAAAAAAACAATAATTTTTGTTAAAAATAATGATGTGTACATTCTGTAAATACTAGGAACAAACACAAGTTAGTTATACCACTTACTCAACTCCAAAGAGCTAGTAATTCTTTCATGGTGCAATGTATACGCTTTTACAACAAAGTCCCAGAAAATATGCATACCTTTTCTATCAAAAGGTTTAAATTATTTACTAAGCAAAAATTGTCTAGTAAGTATTATTATACTACTAAAGAGTACATGACTGATAATAACCCCTGGGAATTAGGTGACCGCTACCATGCTGTTTCTAAATGTTTTCATAACAATTGTATAAAATATATTGTATAAAATATTGCAAATTGTGCTTTTTAAAACAAAGTCCCGCTGGGTTTCTTGCTGGTTCTTCCCAGGACAGAGGTTTTTTTGCGAACCAGTGGTAAAAGTAAAAAATGACTTTCAATAAGTATTATGTATAATTCTATACTTTCTATTCTATATTCTATTCTATACTGAATAAAAATGATTCTATTCTATTTTATTCATGGTTCTACCACGTATAAATCTAATAAATAAACCCTACAATTATCATACTGCTTATACTCTACAATCTGGATTCATCCCATTCTTGCAAAGTTTAGGTTTCTGAAGGTTTCACTTCTACCGCGTGCTGCTCACATTTTTTTTATTGGAAAAAAAGAAGGCGATTCCCAATTTCAATGTATTTTTGCCGCAATATCTTAGATAACAATGGAAACGCTCACCCTAAATTTCATAGTACGCGATCACCCCGGGTTCGATTCTTGTAATTTTATCGGTCCCAGCAAAGAACTGTTAATTTACCACATGCATAGCGAATGTTTCGAGAGTATGTGAAGTACGCTGACACGTATTAGAACTAACCCTCCCATAATTGAGGAGTGGTCTGCGCCCAACAGTGTTTATTTATATAGTTTTTAGAATAAGGACGACACACGAACACACATTTCAACTGATGGGAAGTTGTTGGTGTAGTGCATGTAGCACATTTACACCTATTCTCGATTCAGAATCAAAATGCATCCCGAAGGACTAAGATGGAATGCCTTATTACCAGTCAAAAGTGTGACGTGTTTAGCCCGTAATGTTACTACTTGACGTATATAAAGCGTCTTATTCACAGTCCATCTTGCCCCTCCGATGGTCAGGTCAGGGTGGCAGGATAGATGGTGGGTGGATGGATAGGTCCCGCCAATGTCATGCACGACGCACGAGCTCT